TACCCAGCAGGGTAATGAAATGTCTGCAGAACAATGAACCAGCTCGGCGAGCCAACCAGCCACAGTTCCCTGTTTTCTGTTATGTTTTTTCTGTTCCCTGTCCTTTATAAAATAGTGGTGTTCTAGAATCTAGAGAATTCTGGAAGATCAAAATCAATGCCTCCACAATTTCTTAAAAGCTTCATTCCAATGTTCAGCTTTTGATTTGGACTTAATATCTCCTGAGGACACAGTTCAGCCCAACTTGCTAAATTTAAAAGTAACTCAGTTTACACAGTAGCATACTGAGCAGTCACAGTAATATCAAATTATCGGTTGTTGCCTGTATCAGATTAATTTAGGCACCCTGTCTGAAATCTAATCACACCATAAACAAAGCCAAACTATGAATTCAGCTTCTGGAGGGCTGCATTTAGTTCAGTTTGACCATTTGTAACATGTTGTAGTCAGATCCTCCCATTAAGGCATGGCCTAAAGTTCCTGAGCATGTGGAGGGTGATATGCTTGCTATTCTGCAACAGTAAACCGGACAGCAGATTTCCTCCAAACCTATCTCTTGTTTTTTACCTTGTGATGCCTTTCAGTATTTTTAGTTGTTTGATTAATGTCACATCCAGCTGTAATTGTTTATGCGAGTGGGACAAGAAAGAAAAAATCCACCTTTCACAATGTTAGGGCATCCCAAAATGCCTCACACCTAATGAAATACTTAGAAATTGTAAATCTTATTGCAATGTAGGAAACACAACAGTCAATGTGTGCTTAGCAAGTTTCTACAGACAGCAATGAGATAAATGACCAGGAACCCTTTTGTTTTTAATGTCAATTGATATGTGGTAACAAGGACCTCTCTAACAAGGGGACTCCACTGAACTTTGAAAAATGAAGAATCTTTTAGAAGTTTCTTTCATGTCTGTATGAGATAGCAGATGGGACCTCAGTTTAACTTCTAATCTAAAACACAGCACCTCCAACAATGCAGCACTCCCTTGGTAATGGTACCAGAGTGTCAGACCAGATTCTGTACTTGAGTTCTAAGTATTGGCTTCAGGCTGACAACCTACTGATTCGTGGTTGCCACTACAGCTTCTCTGTGCTTTTGGCTGTTCATTGCCATTTTGAGAACTGTTGCCACGATCTTTTGTTTATGCATATGTTTTCAGATCGTCCCGGAGTACAGAACCGTGTTCAAGTGGAGTGTATTCAAGATGGGTTATCCGAGACTCTACAGTCATACATCCGAGCCAAACATCCTCCTCCAGGTAATCGGTTATTGTATCCGAAGATGATCCAGAAGTTGACAGACCTCCGGAGCCTCAGCGAGGAACATTCCAAACAGTTCCAGTTTCTGACCATTAATCCTGATTGTAACACACAGCTTACACCACTTGTGCTGGAGGTATTTAGCAATGATGTTGATCAGTGAACCACTTTCTTTTGTTGCCAACGTTTAGGTTCACGCAGGGTAGCAGGCTTGATGCACACACAGCATTTCCTTTGAAAAATTAGGCTTCCAACTATCAAATGTGATGCTAATGAAGTAATTTCTGAATTTTTTGGACCAGTGATCTAAAGAGAGGAGGAATGGGGTGGTAATTGCAGTTTGCAAAAAGATTTCCACTTGTATTTTACAATGTAGCGGTAACAATGGAAAGTAAAAGTGGTAGTTTCCTCCATCACTTCATTTGTACCTGAAACATGAGAACAAGGGCAGTGATGGGCAACATTTTAAGCGTCTAGTGAACACATTAGATGAATATAAACAAAGTACATCTGATCTTTGAATTCAACACTCAGAATAGGTGATGTCACCCATTATTGCTCTTAAGTTCCCGTGTTACAGGCAAATGACCAATTTTGCCTTTCTCAGCTTTTTTACACTTTTCTTAATATTTATGAAATGATTTTAAATAATCTGAAAATGCAATTGGCAAGGGTGATGATTAAATGTTTTCAGTGGCAGAAATGCCAGCAATGTATATGCCTAATGCAGGCACTAAACTACTACAAGAATCAGGAACAACTTTAGAGTCCTTCGTCTGTTGACGTCCTACTTCCTGCTGCCCTCAAAAAATATTCACTGCTTGGTCTGCAAGTGTTCAGGACTTGTTGGTCACTAGAAGTGATTGACAAGGATCTGATGAATTAGTCATGATCATGACCTGCACAACTGAAGACTTGTAGATTAAAATTTGACGAATGGCATGTAATCAGGAAGTTACAGTGACCACCACTCAACTGTGTTCGCACATGCCCTTTGGGAGTGAGGGCAGTCTTCAGTGGTCTTTTCACAAAACTGTGTAAGCACATATTTATTTCTTGACCTTTTTTTGAATCAATTCATGTTCCAGACCTCTGCAGTGATGACTGTTGCAACTGGAGTCGCTCACTGGCACCATTCACATTAATTCATTTAAAATCTTGTGATGTAGATGCAAAGAACTAGAATTTCTTAACGTATAAATAATTTAGATTGTCATTGAATCTGATCATATATCACACCTGCTGTGTTGAGCCTTTCTTTTATTTTCAAGGTTTTTAATTTGAAAATTACAAGGTAGAGCTCCTGATTTGGGAATTTGTGCAGGGAATAGTTCGATCATAGAATCTAGGTTTTGTGTTCAAAACCTGGTCTCTGCTGAGTCAGTTGATCTCAGCCAGTTTGGACGTAAGGGTATTGCATTTGATGTTGGCACTTTTGGAAAGAGAAGGGGGAAATCAACAGAGGTGCCTGATCCTGGCCATTATACACTCCTGCTGGAAGAGCATACGTGTTTATTGGGCAAAGATGTTTAGCTGTGATACCATAATGGTAGAATTCCTTGTTAACATTCACCATATAGGTTCCTACCTAAAGAATAGTTACTTGAATGATGAGGTACCTCTAGAATTGTATTCCCACACAAGTTAACACCTTCTGAAGATGGGTGTAAGTTTTTCGAAAAGGGAAAAGAAGATGCAAGTTGCATCATTTCCCTATACTGTATTTGGAGAACCCATTGGTATGAAATTGATTCTCTTAGACAGATTTTAGAATGTGTCGGAAATGCTGCAGTGACATCAGCCTGACCTGAAGTACAGATCTCAATGTCTATATATTGCACAGTATGCATACACACCATCTGTATACATCAGTTGTGGTACTTATGTCTGTGAATAATTCACTGTCTAATCCTTTCTTTTATTCAACCAGAATTCATGTACAGCAGCAGCCATTTTATGCACTTATTCTCTGGAAGCAAGTAACATTGTTTCATACTCAGGAAAACCACATTCCCTTCAGGTTTTAGAAAAATAGAAATGTTTAAAACTGCATTTAAAAATGTTAGCTGCATTGACCAGTGTGGTTGTACTAACATGTATCCCGGTATGGTGCTGAATCCAGATCTGGGCAGGTTGAAAATATACTTCTTTGATGCCAATGGTCTCACTTACAAACAGGTTATATGGAGCTCTGCAATTTTACTAATTGCAAAAGACAATCCTTCCCAGCTAGTGTCCCTAACTGGTTGATGCTTATGTGGATGTTCTGTACTTGGTGTAAACTCATAATTCATTTCAGAAAGCAAGTTAGAGAAGTGCTGATTCTTACTGCCTTAAATGTATGCAATAGATGGATAAAGGATTCAGAAGTAAAATAGAAAATTGAGTAGCACTTGCAAGTGACATTCAAGAGATTGTTTTTACTTGACTAAATGAACAAACAGCACGTAAATGGAAATAAGCCAGTTTTTTTAAAGGATTATTGAGATAAAAAATTGAGTTGCATAAGTGTTTCTAATGTGAGGAGTGCAACCCTGGAGAAGTGATTAAACATAGCTGGGTAAAAGCAGATACTGGTATGTACATCACGTTTTTATTTACACAAAAGTATACCATGTTTGTACAGGATTGCGTCTTTTACAGGGTTCCTACATTTGTCTGAGTTGTCAGACAAGAGCACTGGCTCCTTTATCACTAATGAAGTTTGCCCAATTGTATGTTTTGGTGGCTGTTTTAAAATGGACACTGTTTACTCAGATTCTAGCACACAAGTGCAGGGAGACCTGCCTGAGCCATCTACTAGTAGCTGACAATGTATGGTAACCTCTCTATCCAGTCTTGAACCTGGACATTCTGGGATGAGAAAAACAAATTTACCAAATGGAAATAAGGAAAATGAAATTATATTTTGTAAACTTATAGTTTTAGCTTATTATACAAAGTAGAAAGTATATTTTGCAAAGGTTTGTAAATTACTGTTGAAAAAGACAATTGGGTTATTTTGGTGGCTGCCTCCCACCTCCCCAAAAATACAGTGGCTTTATTTGTAAGCCTAGTTCTGTTGATGTAAACATGTCATTTTGTGATTGGTGTTGTAGAAAGGCTTGTTCTCGATTTGTGTTAGTAGCATCCCACTATATTATACAAGGCTTGCTTGAACGCAAGGTCATTAGTTTGTGCTGAAGATGGACAGTTAATTAGATGTAGTACTCTGTCACTTTTACTTTAACATCCTCTTCCTGTGTGTATCAGGTTGTTTCTAATAGGCTGATTTAATCTACTACTTGTACATATCTTTTGCCACTCCTCCCCCAAAAGTTCCACAACTTTTTTTCTATTGCGTTTTTAAAGTAAACTGATAACAGCATTTATAAGCCAGGCACTGCATACGCTTCTGTTTTTCTGAACATTTTATTTCAGTTTATATCTTTAAAGATTTAAAAATGACTCCTCTACAGAATGCTATGTGAGTATTCCAATTATCTTGTTCTGGTCAGGTCATTTGTCTTTCAAAGTAGGAGTCTGGAAGAACACAGCAAGCAAGAGGTTAATACCTGAAACATTGACTGCTCCTTTCCTCCAGATGCTGCCTGGCTTGAGGAAAGGAGCAGTCAACGTTTCGGGTATTACCTTCTTGCTTGATGTGTTCTTCCTGCCTCCTATTTGTCTACCCTGGATTCTAGCACCTGCAGTTTTGTTTGTCTATAACCATTTTTCTTTCAACTCTGACTTATTTCGGTACATCAAGTTTTCAAATTCAGGCCTTGGAGGAATGCCTATATTGCACCATTCAATGAAAAGCAAGTGAACCCCACTAGAAATGGTCTTGTACTTGAAATTAAACTGAGCAGAATAAGCAGAGATGGGTTCAGATTAGGCAAAGGTGAATTTAGGACTTATTATTAGAGACTTCATCGTGGGAAATGGATTTCCTGAAGGAATTGTGGAGTTTGAAACCACATTGACTTTAAGGTTTCTCCGAATGAATGAGTTAAGATGGGCCAAATGATCTTCCTTGCGCATGATTTTACAGTCCCATGATGGTGAGGAACAACATCCTATGTAGACAGGGTCCTCATGTGCTCAAAATCCTGTGCCAGGCTGGTGTACTTGAGATAGATGGACTCCTCCAAGAACCTCCACATTGCCTCAGGAAACACCAACACGTGGGAACACACCTCCTACTGGTCAAGTAGAGTTGCCATTGCAGTGACTCCTGGGGCATTGGACATATGTCCAACTGAGCAGGGTTTTGTGTACTTCACAGGGTGTTGACCCTGCTCCTGCAGACCATGCAGTATTATCATTGAAGAGACAAGCCACGGGATAGGTTAAGAATCATTTCAGTTATAGGGTTATAGAATCATACAGCATGGAAACAGATCCTTCGGTCCAACCAGTCTGCAACGACCATGTTCCCAAACTAAATTAGTCCCACCTGCCTGCGTTTGGCCCATATCCCTCTGAACCTTTCCTATTCATGTATTTATCAGAGGTATAGATAGAGTGGACCGCCAGAGACTTTTTCCTAGGGTGGAGGTAGCTATTACGAGAGGGCATTGTTTTAAAGTGAGTGGAGGTAGATATAGGGGAGACGTCAGAGGTAGGTTCTTTACTCAGAGAGTGGTCGGGGCGTGGAATGCATTGCCGGAGAGGGTAGTGGAATCGGCCTCATTAGGGGCATTTAAGCAGCTATTAGATAGGCATATGGATGATAGTATAAGGTAGGGGTGGAGGTTAGATAGACCTTAGATTTAGGGTAAAAGTTCAGCACAACATCGTGGGCCGAAGGGCCTGTACTGTCCGGTACTGTTCTATGTTCTTATCCAAATGTCTTTTAAACATTGTAACTGTATCCACATCCACTGTTTCCTTGGGAAGTTCATTCCATACACGAACCACTCTCTGTGTAAAAAAATTGCCCCCATGTCCTTTTTAAATCTTTCTCCTCTGACCTTAAAAAATATGCCCCCTAGTTTTGAACTCCCCCACCTTAGGGAAAAGACCTTGGCAATTCACCGTATCAATGTCCCTCATGATTGTATAAACCTCTATAAGGTCACCCCTCAACCTCAGACCCTCCGGTAAGATGGCAGTGGGGTAGCACTTCTGAGCACGGGGCTCCTCCGCTCTGTCCACGTTTCTTTTTGTTTTTTTTTTCTTTTTTGTTTCTTTTATTTTGCTTACCTCATTTCAAAGAGCTTGGTTGCAGCGATGGTATCGGTGGCGGTGAGTGAGCCCAGCGCGGACCCAAATGGGCCCAGCAGCGCAGACTCATGGCAGCAGCATCAGAGGTAAGTTTGGGTTCCGGTGGCTTCTGCGTTGACAATCTGGTCCTAGCACCAACTCATGGCTGCTGTGGTGGAGGCGAGTTTCAGTTCCCAACAATGTCTGCATCCGGCGCAGATAGTGAGGCAGAGGCAAGTTTGGCCCCAGTATGAGACCCGGCAAAATCAGCAGTGGCTGCATCAGCGAAGTGGGCCCGAAGCGGATTCATGGCAACAGTGGAGTGAAATTTGGGTCACCGGTCATCGGTGCCTTTTGCATTGGCGAGGTCCATCAAGGACTCACAGTGTCAAGGGCATTAGTGGAGGTGAGATGATACTGAAGGGTGACTTCGTTCTGGCAGCGAATGGGACTTGCGCCTAATTACCAGGCCCATGGTGGAGCGCTTAACAAGAAGAACTGTAAAGTTGAACACTTTATCTTTATTTCTTCATTTTTCTGCCTTTATATTCTATATTTTGGTTTATTTTTCTGTATTTTGAGATGGCACCAGAGAGTGGCAACACTATACAACACTTCTGACTGTATTTTGTAACAACATACTCATGACAATAAATAAATCAAATCCAGTGAAAAAAGTCCCAACCTATTTTTATAACTCAAACCCTTCATTCCTGGCAACATCCTGGTAAATCTTTTCAGAATCGTCTCCAGTTTAATAATATTCTTCCTATAACAGGGTGACTAGAACTGCATACAGTACTCCAGAAGAGGCCCTACCAATGTCCTGTACAGCCTCAATATGACATCTCAACTCCTATACTCAAAGGTCATGTTTCCTGTCATCTAATGGTCCAATTGTAAGTGCATGTATTGACACACAACAGTTGCCATAAATTCACTAAATGATTGTCTAGGTTTAGCTTCTCTCTCTCTCTCTCTCATTTCCCCCTTTCTCGTTTACCATCTCTCTCATTTTTCCTCTCTCTCTCTCATGTTATCTTTCAAAGTGCTGTCATACTTGGGCTCTTCCAACCTCGGATTCTGAATAGTGCAAAAGTTATAAAATTGCTGATTAACTTTAAGGTCCACAGTTGTACTCCTAATTACAAATTGTTTCAGCATGAGTTCTGTCAGTAAAGACTTAATATTCTGTTTTATTGGCCCTCTGGCTAATCTGAATGAAAAGCTATATCACAATGTGCATTCAAGGCAAGGCAGTTTTTGGGTGTCACAGGACTTGGAATCCTCGCTGAGTTTAGATATTTATCAAATAGAGATCTCTGAGCATATTTCATTCTCTATTATCTCTGTATTTTTTCAGGCAAAAAATGGATATTGAGTAATAAATTGCTGTTTGAATCAACTTTAAAAAAGACTTCAGTGAAAAGAATATCCTATGGCTACCATGCGATGCAGTAAAACCCAGATGTCAGCAGGCAATGATAGGAGTGAGACAGGTCCATTAAACAAGGAATTTGCAGACGACTTGAGGATTTTGTTTGGATCCACAGAAATGAGGCTGGGAGTAAAGGAACATTTACAGGTGTGCCTGGGGGTCTAAACAGCCTTACAGAGTCTCTGGGTGTTAATTATATGCTCTTGAAGCCCTTCAATAAAGGGAGGAGTAATAATTGCATTTTTTTTAAACTCATGGTTGATTCCTACTGTCTTGCCTGACCCTGATGTACTGAATTGGCACATCTCCTTCCATTGAAAGACTCAATTTGAAGGTTTCCATAAGGTCAGATCCTTTCAAGGCCTTCCTCGCCTGCTTCACATGGCCAAGCGATACTTCAACAACTACTTCAGAAAAATTTTACTCTTCCTTGCCAAAACAAAAGTTGCTCAGTAGTGTTTGGCCTTTTAAGCTGCTGCAGCCATTTAAATCCATCAAGAGAATCCAACTTCCTGCCGCAAAATAGCAAACTCCCAATCCAAAGGTGATTCAAGTGCAGGCATGACCCCGAAATTTCTAATGACGCTCATCCAGAACATTTGGGGGACTTATTAAATCATTAAATTAGCAGTAAATCACTCTAGTCATTTGAAACAGTAAACTCGCTGAAATAAGTGTATATTCTTCCAATTTCTCCCCTCCCCATTTGAGCTTCATTTGCATTTTGCTTTTTTTGGCTCTTCGTACTTTATAAATTTTCGAATTCTTTCTATTCTGTCACATTACTGAAGCAGGACTTATTTCTTCCTTTTTTTGGTTTCACACTAGGTATATCTTTGTTTGCTTTTTTTCTGTCTTTCCATTGATTCACCAATTTAATCCATGCTTAGACTTTTCTTCCTCCAACAGTCAGCAATGCCTATCTAGTTTGATTTTATTGCATCTGAATGTCCTAAAACTTCTCTTTTATATTGTTTAAATTGGTAATTTAACGGGCTGGATGTTAACAGGCCCCAGTGGCAGCTACGGAGGCAGAAGGCTGATAGAAAGGCAGGGAGCAGTGTCAGGATGTCTCCCTGGCTGTCACACTATCCAGGGCATTTTCTAGCTGTGTCCAGGAGGTAGGCTGCAATGCGGATCAACTGCCCACTACATGGAGGCGAGCAACTAACTTGCACATTCAGGACAATTACAGGCCGGTATGCTGAGTGAGCTAACAGAGTAACTCCCATCACAAGGGGTGACCACCAGGGTGGCCTT